TTTTTTTTTTTTTTTTTTTTCCTTACGATTTATTTATTTTTAATGTTAATGTGTTCGATAGCAATTTTGCAACATGTATTTGTTAACCCCACTTATTTTATTTGAATTATGATTGGCGGAACTTGACATAATATAATTCTCGAATTATATGACTTTAATCTCAGGAAAAATAGCTTGTTCAATATTTTAAAATGGGCATGTATAAACTTGCTTTACCCAACCCTTTTCTCTTCGGTGCCACCCCCCACCATAAATAATGACCGGTCCCTAATGTCTATCAAAATGGTAATTTTTCAATTTAACGTGATTATATTTTAAACCAAATAATTAAATTAAGGAGGCTCCCTACAGTTTCCAATATATATCAGTGTTTTAAACTACTGTAAAGGCTATTTGAATCTAAAAAAAACTAATTTTTTGCACAAGCCATTGTTTCCTCTTGTATAAATTAATTTTAACCCACAATCGCTATTTTTCGCGTTACCATGACAACATGACGTCACCATCTATATCTTTAAGATTGCCGATTTTAGCCTTTCGAAAGGCTGAAATTCAGTTTCTCGAAAACTACACTGGAGATTTTCAAATAACTTTCAAAAAAGATTCAAAACTTCATAACAATGTATTTTTTGCAATAAAAATGGTACTAAAACTGTCTGTACCAGTGTAGGTAGTACCAATGTGAAAATGCTGTGCTGAGTGGTTATATGAATCGGAACAAAACAGTTTTGCACGATTTGTTTAGGCTGCAGCGACAAAAATTAAACTTCTTGGAAAGTTTGTTGAAAGAATTGAAGAGCAGTCAAATCCTGAGAAAATTGAAGTAATGTTTGGTTTAATACGAAGAATGATTGATGATAATATCGTCAAGGCAAGGTACGTTCAGAATATCTCTGTCAAGACATGGAATGATGTTTACTGTATTTTACTTTGAATAACACGTCTGATCTAAATACAGGGATGATGATGCACAAGCTTGAAATGTCAACCTCGCCCCCAAATCAGCATTGAAAAGCATATATGAAGGGGATTTTTTCATTGTCGTCCTAAAAGGCACCTTTAAAACGAAGAATCAGTTTTCCCTTTGTCAAGATATACTGTATCTTAGTTTCGGAGTTATTGAAGTTTCTACATTTTTTTGATTACGTCATATTGTTTGCACTGATCACGTGACATAAATCTGCCTATTTCTCTGTCAAAACTAAGAAATTAATAAAACTTTCAACATGTATAGCACTAACATAAAATTACACATCGCTACAACAAAGGTGCTGTTATCATGGAAACATTCTTGACCAGGGTTTTTCTCCTACTTTTTAGCCAAGTTTTCGTTTTACTGTTTAGCAGATGAAACTACGAAATCGATGTTTTGAGACTACGGAATTTGTCAATATTGTAATGACCATTTTAACAATCTAATTTTGTTAAGCACTCCAATAGGCTCTTTTTAAACGCTGAAAAACAATTGATGCAATGTTCAGCGGGGACAGGTTTTGTGACAGTTTGCAATGCTAGTCGTTGTTAAATTTCATGGAAAACATTATATGAGATTCGTTGCATAAGTACTTTAAGAATCCTAGAATATTGTCCATGACTCCCACTGACTAATTTTCACCATCTCTTATGGATATGAATTTGGACTTTCCCTTGCAAACCTATTTTTCTTATGGCGCAGAATGATATGTGAAGCTGTACTCAAGTCTGGAAAATTAAATTTCCACAACGAGTCTTCCTGGAGTCAAAGTTTTGAATTTGTTTATGATTTGCTGCCGTCCATCGATTATAAGGTATATTAAAATAAAGTGACATGTATTTAATTTTTAAGTGTACTGTACCGAAAGGATACCCCTTCCCCAAAGTTTGTTGACATATTTCTTAGGCAATTTGGCCACCCCTTTTAATCCGGGCGAATAATCAACAATTCTTTAATTATACAGCTAATTCAAGCAATCATGTTTTCGCTCACTACTCTGGTTTAAATAAATGATTACAAAGCCCAGTCGAATTGTAATCAAGACCCAACGTTTCGACATTCCAGTCTAGTGTCTTCATCAGGGGTGATCTAATGTTGCAATGTGGCTTCTTAAATACCCAAGGGATGACGTCATCTGCCAATAAGATGCATATTTCCTCTGGCAAATAGGTACCGTCATCCCTATTCAAAGCAAGATTACTCATATTTAAATGCCACGCTTCTAGGCATCGTCTCTGACCATAGCATTGAACTAAAATATATTTTAGTTCAATGGACCATAGCGATTGTTTGTGGTAATTACTTTAGACTTTTCCCACGCAATCTTGTGTTTGGTGTCACACACATGTTCTGCTGAAGCTGATTTCCCCTTGTTTAAAGTTGAAACATGCAACCTTTTCTTGTTCTTTCCTAAGTACTCTTTCTCGCAGTCACCACATGCATGGTACAGCCTCGCAAGCCAGGGTCTTTACTTCCACACGGGCAAATGGTATAGAATATAGGCGCTGTTACACTATGCAACTTGTCTTGCAACTTGTGTCGCAATTGCAAGGTTAACAAACATAACAAAAAATTGCAAGGTGTAACCTACATCGCAATCATCAAGTCCCGCAACATTTTTGCTGCAGCAAGCGTTGCGAAAAGTAGAACCTGATTCTACTTCGTGCAACGTTTGCTGTAACGAAATTGCGAGACAAGTTGCAAGACAAGTTGCATGTGTAACAGCACCTTATACAACATGAGTTTTCTGATTTGTTTTAGCAGAATCTTTCGGCTTTGCGAAAATATGGCCCAATGTCAAATAGGGTTTTAAGGCAACCTTAATGATTCTCTTTATTGGTACTGTGACACCTCGAATGTATGGAAATTAAAAATACTCCTTTGCAGAGGTATCACCCTCGGAGTTATTTTGGTTCCTACAAACAGGTGGTCTCAGGCAATCATTGAGAAAACATTTTGGGTAATCGTTTTCCCTTAAAACATTTAGTACATATTCACGTTCATTAGCTTGAGAATCACTGTTTGACGGCAAGGATTCAGCTCTTTGAAGCAACGTTTTTGCTACGGATCTTTTATGCAAGATCTTTTATGTTTTTACTTCTGTCTTTTTGTCTCAATACCACATACTTTGTGTTTGAGGGCAGTTATTAACAACAGGTTTTTGGAACAGCGTATCAGTCACCAGTATCGGCAGTAACTGCTAATTTAGTAATGGAAGATGTCTTTAGCTTTAGCCTCTGTTCCCAGTATCTCTTTCGTTTTGGAAGCGTTTCGTCGGTGATGTCATCTCTGCGGTTCCTACAGTAGAAATGAAATCGATATTCTGCTAAAACATTTAAATTCTATTTAGCCGTCCATTCAATTCACGGTAGAACGTGAGATAAATTGACAATTAGCTTTTTTTAGATTTGGATGTTCACAGAGCTGTCGAAGGGAAGTTAGAGACTTTTGTTTATCGCAAACCCACACACACACACAGACAAATATTTGTCATACGACTCTCGTCATCCAGTATAACTCCGAGGGTGATGCCAAGGGTTATGCAATAGTTCCATACATTCGAGGTGTCACAGAACCAATAAAGAGAATCTTAAGTAATTGTAATATTAAGGTTGCCTTAAAACCCTATTCGACTTCATGCCATATTTTCGCAAAGCCGAAAGATCCTGTTAAAACAAATCAGAAAACTCGTGCTGTATATTCTATACCATGCGGTGACTGCGAGAAAGTATTTGGGTCAGTTTAAACGCCAGTTTAGTACACGGCTAAAAGAACATCAAAAGGCTGTTTCAACTTTAAACAACGGGAAATCAGCTTTAGCAGAACATGTGTGTGTGTGACACCAAACACAAGATTGCGTGGGAAAATTCTAAAGTAATTATCACAAACAATCGCTATGGTCAAAGACGATGCCTAGAAGCGTGCCATATAAATACGAGTAATCATGCTTTGAATAGGGATGACGGTGCCTATTTGCCAGAGGAATACATGCATCTCATTGGCAGATGTCGTCATCCCTTGGGTATTTAAGAAGCCACATTGCAACTTTAGATCACCTCTGAAGAAGACACTAGACTGGAGTGTCGAAACGTTGGGTCTTGATTA